CCTTGAACCCTGACCCCTGACCCCTGAACCCGAAACCTAAACCCCGAACCTCAAAACTCGAACCTCGAATCCCTAAACCCCAAAACTCAAAACTCGAACCCCAAACCCCGAACCCCAAACCCTGAACGATTCCTAATTTACCAGGCATATGATTAATTATATGAATAAATGCCAATAAGCTAAAATAGTGCGTATGTTTGATTAATTATATGATTAACGCATAAAAAATTCTCTCTTTTTTCTGGAGTTGGAATAACCTATGAAACAAGAGGAATATTATATTTGTCAACATGTCAATAGTTGGTCTTTGGAAGTACTAAGTTAGGAAGGGATTTAATACCCACAAAATGGCATATGCCTTGTAACGTTTGCATCATAAACAAAGAACAGGCTGAGCATTATCTTCAATCAAAAAAAGCAAGTTTGCGTTATCCTGCCATCCATCCAATTCCCCATTTATCTCTTAAGGCATGGGGTCGTGATCCCTATCCCTTCTTCGTCTTATTTAATCTCAGAAGTGATCGTCAACAAGAAGGGAAAGGACCACACACCTAGCTACTTGCTATTGTCAGATGCTCCTGCATTTCAAGGTTTTTTTTTCTTTATTTATTTTATTAAAATTTTAGTTTTGTTTTATAAAATTGAGATTTTTGTAGTTTTTAAGGTAAAAAATTATTATAATTAATTTTAATATAATATATAAAAGACTAAGACAATAACCAAAGGCGACACAAGGTTTAGAATAAGAGGCAAAGGCATAAGATTTGGAACCCTAATTAATAATCAGCAAGAAATTTGATAGGAAATAAAAAAAGAAAGTTTCCAACAATCTCTGAATCAGCTCCTACTCGAAAGCAGAGTGTACACTGGCTGGCTTCTTAATATTGTCTATCATTTCAATTATTTCCAGATCATATCATATAGACTCCTTTAATTACGTACGTTCCTATCCTATTTCCTAATTTGATGGTCATTGTAAGTCTGTGATACAAACTGGCTCCCTTTCGGTTTGTTTCTATACAATAATTAATTTATATGTTGCTGAACAAATTAAGTTTCAGCTTTTCAGGTATATAAGTTATGTGCTTTAATTTTCATTTAGTATATAAGTGTGTGATATGCTACGCTCTTCTACAAGAGCTGTTGGCATTAAATTGATTCCTTTGAAATCTCATCAAACACATCTATGGTCTTTTCTCTTGTTTTTGTTTTTTTGTTCTTCTTTTAACCCACGCATCATGTAATTATATGGCTTTAGGGTTGAAAAAAATTAGGAATCGTTGTTTGGATATAAGGAACCGAAAAACACTGGGAAAAAAAATGAAAATGTGTAGCCTAGGTTCAAAGCTATGTTTCGATTAGTCAAATTATCTACTATATGGATGTGTGACCTTGGTCTTACATTTTGCTTTATAACGAAGAAAAATCACCGATATTTATTAAGTTTTTTTGAAATAGTTTCGTAAAAACTTTGGGCCCTACTCTTAAAATGAAATAATTAAAAAGGAATACTGAGGTGACATTTTGTTATATATGACAATGAAAACAATAAATTCCCTGAAAAAATGTTCTGCATTCTCATCCGTCCCTTAAATGCTCGTGGAATATTCTAGCTCTGCATGTTGACAATGAAATTGGCCACAAAGTATTATAAGTTGCGTAGCAGAATATGATGATGAAGCGCTCCCTACCTTCTATAAGCCTTTGAAATTAAGAAAAAAACATATTACTACAAACAAGGATTAGAAACCGTCTGCACAAAACCTTGCAAAGTTAGTGTTTTGCCTCGTCATTAGCGAGTTTGAGAAAAGAGTACAGCAGCCAACTCCTGCGTGCAGTTGTCATGGCAGAGCCTGATTATCAGGCCAAAAGTATGCCCAGAGCCGACTTCACCACCATCTTAGCATCTCAAGGGGTTGACTTCCTTTTATCCAGTGAAGGAGAGGTACTCCTGCGAAGCAACTTTTTTCTTTTCTCTCTCAAGTCTCGGATGCAAATTTTCACTCGGATCAGTCATGGCTCTTTAAATTTTCAATGAGCTTAGTTTCTCTTGGGAATTTTTATTATCTTAAATTTAGCTGACAGGAATAATTATATTGGTGAGAACAGAAATTTAATTATGTAGTGATTGGATTCTTAGAATGCTCAAAAGGAATATGGGTCGAATTATCAAAAAATAAAAAATGGGCTCTGCTTAATTCAGATCAAATTAACTGAATAGAGATACGTATGTGTGTTTTGGTGCCCTTAACTTCATTAATTTGTTAAGGTTTTATGTGTTTAGGTACCCTTAACTTCATTTGATCTTGAGAAGACGGTCTGCCTATTCTTCTCTGCCAACTGGTGCAGGCCCTGCAAAACTTTTATTCCGGAACTGGTGCAGCTGTATAACATGTTAAAATCACGAGGCGAAGGGCTTGAGATTGTCTTTATTTCCTTTGACCACGATGAGGATGGATTCAATGAGCACTTCAAGAGCATGCCATGGCTTACCGTCCCATTCAATGTAAATTTGCAAAACAAATTAGGTGAAAGGTTTAATGTTGTTCGCATTCCCTCGCTTATTCCATTAAATTCAGATGGACAATCAATGGAAGAAGACTTGATTGGATTAGTCGAAGACTATGGTGAAGATGCATTTCCCTTCACTAGGAAGAGAAGAGACGAATTGAAAGCTTCCGATGATTCGAAGCGTCAAGGAGGAAAAGTAGAACAACTTTTGGCACATCAAGGACGGAATTACGTTGTTTCTAGAGATAATGGAAAGGTAATTAATAATACAGGTGTTTTTTATACAATTAATATACGTATCGGTAATGAACCTGTTTTCGGTATTGCAGATACTGGTATCTGAACTTGTCGGGAAGACAATAGGCCTTTACTTTGGTGCACACTGGTGTCCTCCCTGCCGTGCCTTCACCGCACAGCTTGTAGAAGCGTACAAACAGCTACTGAACAGCAGGGGAGGATGTTTTGAGGTTATTTTGGTTTCTACAGATAGAGACCAGAATGAATTTGACCTGAATATAAGCGGTATGCCATGGCTGGCTCTTCCATTTGATGATAGGACGCGACACGATCTTTGTAGGATCTTCAACATCAAAGCCATTCCCGCATTAGTTCTAATTGGACCAGATGGGAAAACCATTAGCACAAATGGGAAGACCATTATCTCCCTGTATGGTGCAAAAGCTTTCCCATTCACCCAGTCAAGTATTGCAGAGATAGAAACAACCTTGAAAAGGGAAGGAGATGCATTGCCTCACCAAATCCAAGACACAAAGCATGAGCACGTGCTTAAATTGGACATGGCCAGAGCATATGTGTGTGATTATTGCAAAAGACAAGGGAGGTTCTGGGCATTCTCTTGTGATGTGTGTGACTACGACCTTCATCCAACTTGTGTCGAAGAAGCATGTTAAGATTGATATATATAGATATATATATAAAGGTCTTGAGTGAGAGATGTGCAGCCTCATGTTATTATGGAGAACGAGTATTTCTGCATCTCGAGGGAATAAATGCTGCTACACTTTGTGACCTCAGTCTGCATGATACATCATCATTCTTATTAATCTTGGAAACTGATATAGGTTTGGAATACATGAGTTTGCTTGCGAGAATCGTTTTTGTTTACTTTATATTTCTTGTCCATTAATTCGGATCAATATTGATTGCATTTGCATCTGTGTTCTACTTCGGCTTTATTAAATACTACACAGCCATAATCTCCGGCCTGCTGTGTTCTAAGATTGGGACATATGTTGAACTATCTGTCAGTTATATTCGAGGAAAATGATGATGTATGTGGGTAATTTAGAGGACAACATACTAGAAGCAAAGGGAAGAAAGAGGCTTTGTCGCTTGGACGGTAACTACCTGAAACATGGACAAATGGTATAAGAGGTCAAACACCTTTCTGTCCGCAAAAGCAGGGTGCTCTCTCATAGACAGCGACATAAGACAGATTTGTGTGGTGAAATTTTTGCGGGCATTTCAAGTTTATTTTTATCAAATTAACCCAAAATAAAACAAGGGAGAAATATCTAATGGAGGGAGATAGGTTGAAAATCCTTCATTTTCTTGTCACATCGGAAAAAATGAAAGGATGCAGAAACAGGATACTGTGAGCCCTTCTTTCTCTCTCTTGGCCTTTTGAGAGAGATGAGGAGATCAACAAAGAAAACAATTTAACAAGCATCTTGTTCAAAGGGTTCTTACTTATAGGAGTTAAAAGCTTTGTTTGAAGCAAGTCCAGAACTTTTAAAACGACACCAACGAGGAAAAAAAGGAAGTAGCAGGTTGTAGAAAACAAGCTCTACATTCGATCTTTTATTGGTTTTCAGTACCAAATAAAAAAAGAAAAACGATTGGAAGAATACAAACAAGTTTGAAGAAAGATATGTGGACACCGAGAAGTTATGGCGAAAGGCGAGAAGGATCAAACGGGTTGGTGGCAGTGGCCATAGACAAGGACAAAAACAGCCAAAATGCCCTCAAATGGGCAATTGATCATCTCTTGCAAAAAGGCCACACCGTCGTTCTCATCCATGTGAAAGTCAAGCCATTCTCTCTCTCCGCCTCGCCTCTCCCTGCACCTCGTACGTTCGTATTCTACAACAAAAATCACATTTCTCTTTCGACTGCAGGGTTACAAAAACTTCTTTTTCTGGTACAGGGTTGAACCAAATTTCTGATATCAATGGTGACTTACCATTGGTATGTAAAGATCCTGATCCTCAGACCAGGGAACTTTTCCTTCCTTTCCGTTGCTTTTGTACTCGTAAAGATGTGAGTTTGGTAGATTTAATTAATATGTTCTTTATTGGGACATTCTCTCTCTTAATAATGATCTCAATAATTCAGCAATGATTTAAAAATTTTACTTGATCTGCACTAAAATACCCCTAGCAGCGCTTTGAAATACTTGCAGTTTGCACTCAGCAAATGAATCTTATAGATAATTAACTCTGGATGACAAGCAATTTTGACTTCAGATACATTGCAAAGATGTTGTTCTAGAAGAGACAGACGTAGCAAAAGCATTGATTGAATATGTCACTCAGGCTGCAATTGAGGTTTTGGTCGTTGGTGCCTCGACAAAAACAGGCTTTCTTAGGTATGTATGTCCTATGCTAACGTCAGCCCTCATCAACAAAATTGACTTTTCCAAACTATGATCTTTGAAATTTCCAAAGAAACAGTCAATTTGGATATAATAAAATCGATGTACCTTTCAACAGGAAAGAATACCGATACAGATGCAGCTAGCATGTCCAGAATTCTAGTCTTTTGCTTTGGACAGTAATGGCATTACATTAGACTTCAGCAGAGGACTTGGATTACGGGATTTTCTTGCATGATCATGTTATATGTTTGCAAATAAGCTATAAATTGAAAGTAACCATATTGGTTTTCCTGTCAAAGACAGCGTATGCAATGAAAAATTAAATCCAGGCAAACCTGTGGGATCTCCTTCCGCGATGAAGGTGGAATCTCGTTTTTATCATCATAATCTGATGAAGATTCAATGCCTTTCAACTGAATGAAATAGAACTGAGTTTTATGTTTTGTACTTTGAAAATGATTTAGGATTTGTATTTTTGGGCTAAACAAAATGATTTAAGATTAAGTTGTCTCTTTTGAAGGAATCAATTTTAGGTAACAGACAAGTTTGTTTGCAAAATGTAGGATTCATTAACAGCATTGATGATCAATTTGATTTTTTGGGTCAATAAGGCAGTATATTCCTTCTAATATACTAGGAAGAACAATCTGGACTAACATCAGATGCTTCAACGAATAAAGCATGTTGGTTTATCATCCAAAACCCTGCCTCCATGGCTATGGAGAAAAAACGATCATGATTTGCATCAGCGATCTAGGAGAACGTTGATCTTTTACTGCTTTGTGAAGTCATTTACAATGACGCATAAATTTCTCTGGAAGTTCCTTTAACTTCAAAAAAGTTTGTCTCTGCAGATTCAAAGCGGCCGATATTCCTGGAATGGTATCAAAAGGTGCACCAGACTTTTGTAGTGTGTATGTCATATCCAAAGGCAAAATTTCATCCATGCGATCATCCTCCCGTCCAGCGCCAGCTATCTCCCCATTGCGTAATCACCTTCTTAACCAATCCAGCTTAAAACCAACTCCTCCAGAGTCGCATATCCTGCCTGCTAATAGTTTGAGAGGTCTGTTCCCTTGCTTCAAGCTTTTGTGCAAGTTATCTCCACCATTGGTCAATTTTAAAATAATCTGTGAATAATTTGAACAGTTGAAAAGCCGCGACTTGAGCCACCCCGTAAATCCAGTGATTCCATGGAATCCTTCAGGTAAGCAACACTCCCAGGGTCCCCAAAATGAGCAATAGTTAAATCTTTAATCTTTCTTTAGCAGCTCCTATCACGATTCCTTCTACATATTATCTGTCTCTCTGTTTCTACCTATCTATCTCTCTTTCTTTTCCTTTTTTTTTTTTATCTAAAATAATAAACGGAAGATCTGTACTCATAACTAATTTATTCTATTACTTAATTATTTAGTAATATGTGATACAGGTCACCTTTCACCAGGAGAGGCCTAAACGGGAAATCATATCCGGACCTTCCTATTCCGGATACAGACATATCCTTTGTCACCTCTGGCAGGCCAAGCATTGACCGTATGTTTCCCACATTTTACGATAACCAAGAAACAATCCGCACTGCTCCAAGGCTTTCGAACGTTTCAGACATTGAAAGTAATGTTAGCTTGGAGTCAATGCAGTTCGGACGGAAATCGGTGGATATTAGCTCTCCACCTAACATTTCATCAGTTTCGCAGGACAGTGACAAATTATCAAACTCATCGGCATCAATGGTAAGAAGATAAATTAAATTACTCGATGACTTCAGTTCTCCATTTACGTTAGAAGGGGCATACAGCCTACCCAACGCAGTTCAGCTAAAAGGGGCAATGGTCAACTAACGCGACATAATTGTGTTTACAACTCGACATGCCTGATATGAGGATGTACATTCTCTATGCTTATAATATATGCATATATCTAGGTATTTTCTGATCGAGTTAGACCAAAATATTATTATCAACGCCTCTCTAGCCGCTGCTTTTCACTCAAGGCAGATATATAAAATATCTTACATAAACAGATACTTTTTGGAGATTTATAGTAACGTGGATGATTTTTCTATTTTTCGATGAAATCTGCAGGATGATGTGGAAGCTGAAATGAGGAGGCTAAAGCTGGAGCTCAAGCAAACTATGGAAATGTACAGTTCAGCCTGCAAAGAAGCACTTACAGCAAAACAAAAGGTTAAACAATTAATATATATCCACTTGCAGTGCTACGTCACAAGGCCTGAACATACTTTTACAGATTATAAAATTTTGTGCGTTACATTACAGGCAAGAGAACTCCAGCTGTGGAAATTGGAAGAGGAGCGGAGATTGGAAGAGGCCCGACTGGCTGAGGAAGCTGCATTAGCAATAGCAGAAAAGGAGAAAGCTAAGTCAAAAGCAGCAATTGAGGCCGCTGAAGCAGCTCAGAGAATTGCAGAACTTGAAGCACAGAAAAGAGTTAACGCAGAAATGAAAGCGCTCAAGGAATCAGAGGAGAAGAGAAAGGCACTTGATGCACTAGCAAATTCAGATTCCAGGTACAGGAAGTACACGATTGAGGAGATTGAAGCTGCGACTGAATTCTTCTCAGAGGTTCTCAAGATTGGAGAAGGGGGCTATGGGCCCGTGTATAAAGGTCGTCTAGACCATACTCCCGTTGCAATTAAGGTTTTGCGTCCGGATGCAGCTCAAGGAAGGTCGCAGTTTCAACAAGAGGTATGTGACAAGGTCACGGTGCACTTGGAAATGTTTGTGCTTTTTATATGGTTATGTCTTCAGAAGTTATTAACGCGAGAAAACTTAACTTGAAGCACTTTATTTATTTATTTATTTATTTGGATATGTAACTTGAAGTACTTTCAGTGTATTCTGAGATTCATTTTGTTGGTTTACTATATAATCTATGGAATTATGGACAGTACTTAATTTACAGGTGGAGGTGCTAAGCTGCATACGGCATCCAAACATGGTTCTCCTCTTAGGAGCCTGCCCAGAGTATGGATGCCTAGTGTACGAGTTCATGTCTAACGGAAGCTTAGAGGACCGTCTCTTCAGGAGAGGAAACACTCCACCTCTCTCTTGGCAGCTTAGGTTCAGAATTGCAGCCGAAATTGGAACGGGCTTGTTGTTCCTCCACCAGACCAAACCCGAACCCATAGTCCACCGTGACTTGAAACCTGCCAATATCTTACTGGACCGCAACTTCGTGAGCAAGATTAGTGATGTTGGGTTGGCCAGACTAGTTCCTCCATCCGTGGCTGATAATGCAACGCAGTATCGAATGACCTCCACGGCAGGAACTTTCTGCTATATAGATCCAGAGTACCAGCAGACAGGCATGCTGGGAATAAAGTCGGACATATACTCCCTTGGGATCATGCTTCTACAAATAATAACAGCAAAACCACCAATGGGATTGACTCACCATGTGGAACGGGCTATTGAGAAGGGGAACTTTGAGCAAATGCTTGACCCAGTTATTCCTGATTGGCCGGTTGAAGAGGCCATGAGCTTCGCAAACATTGCACTCAAGTGTGCAGAGCTAAGGCGGAAAGACAGACCCGATCTCGGCAAAGTTGTGTTGCCAGAACTTAACAGATGGAGAGCACTTGCTGAAGATACCATGCATCCTACTTTGCAAACTGGGAGTCCAGGACACTCACCTAACTATAGCCAAGTTTCGCTACAACTAGTGAGTTGATTTATTACCAGGCAGTTCTAACCATATCATCATATTCCCGTCTTTAGCTAAATCTTGATGTTTTGTTTTGTGTTTTTCTTTTCAGGAGCATACCAGTTGTCCTAACTTTGCGCAGTCGGATGATGGCTCAAGAAGTCCTTCCAACGAGAATTGATAGGTATTCGCAGGAGGAAAGATTGACCTAACAAGTTTAGTTTTTGTAGGTAATTTTAAGTCAAAATATGAATACTGTCTTGGAGTTTTATTTTTTCCTTGTCCGTTTCTCACCTCAAACATGTACAGTCACAGAGAGCCAATGATGAGGTCACAAACGAGACATTAAAAAAGGTAATGAAGAGATCATAATTCATAACTAGTAGTGCTATATATATGAAGTAAAATTGTCGAATAATTTGCTTTGATTGGCACTGGAACTAATTTTCACGAGAGAAGTGGAATGCGGATCATTGTGTTCTTTTTGGACCTGTCTTTTTTGTAAATATACTTTTTGCTCGTGAAGAAAGAAAATCCTTTATTAATCATTTCGTAGTTATGGTAATTTTGTAGACCCTAATCTGACCGTCACAGTTGAACCACGTTTCGCAGGTACGACCAACTAATAACCGATTAATTAAAATGCAGCAGAAGCCACATGACAAGTTAAATCATCAAGGGCCCTTCTCCCATCACATTTCTTTACAAAGTTGAATTACATGCCCCATAGGATTTCCTTATCCGGAATACGAAACTCATCCTTGGCAGCAGTTTCTCGCCATATCAATGTAATGCGCCCTCACACGCTTCACACTTCACACTTCACACTTCACACTTCACACTTCATAAATATGAATTGATTATAGAAATCATTTATCCAGAGTATAATGTCCATAAAGATTGAATTTTTTTTTTTATCATTATATAGGCCTCATCATATTATTTTTACATTTTTTCAAATACAAACACTTTCAGTCCAATTATCAATCAGAAATCAAGAAAAAAAACCATTTATATATTTAAGCCAACCCTACAAAATTGGCCTACCTTACAACCTAATTTATCATTGCTATGCCAATTATTCACACCTCTGTTTCTGTCAAATGAACCTGGAGATGCCTATTTCCACAGGCAAGCAGTCACGAAAAAGCTTCTACTCATCCCAAAAGCTTCTGCTCCTCTAGGTTACAAGCTTCTTCAACCTTTGGTTTGTTCTTTGGTCGCCCAGATCGTCTCACATCTTTACTTGACAAAAGCTCCAATGCTTTCTCTAGGGTGACATCTTTCGGCTTCATACTCTACACTCATGTTTCAATTTCCCACCACATTAGAATTAGTTTTCAAAAGGTTGGATGCATTAAAAGCTGCCAGATCTGACAGCTTGCAAAAGTTAAATATAATCAACAACTTCATGACAGACCCCACTAAAATTGTACATTTTCTTCTTGACATCCATCATCCTGATATTATATATATATATATATATTCTTGATATTCTGATACCTTTGGCTTACATCTCCCAGAAACCTTCCATGGGAATGTCTATATGCATTGATGCACCAATATTAGATCTTCTGCCTCCCATGCCAACGACAGCATAATCAAGCAACATTATTTTTGAAGACCTCAGGGCAGTTATTGATGGCAAATAAATCACAAACTAAACAACAACATTTTTCCGTCACCATCACTTGAATAAAAACTTACCTTAGGAACAGAAGCAATGGTGCGTCGATGGCGAACTGAAAATCCGACCTTTGCAAGCTTCAATATCACAGGGTGCCCATCCTTAGGATGTTTTCCCTGCCAAGATGTGAAAAAATTGAAGTTCAAGGAAAATTAGCAGCATTAGAAAAACAAAACTCACTTTAGAGATGGACTAGCATACCAATGTCACAGGGTATCGTAGCAACTCGAGAGCATCTTCAAGGGTGATAGAGTCCACATTCTTTATCTAAATGGAAAAAGCAAGATGAAGATTGGTTTTTATCCAGTTTGCCATATATCAAAGAGTATTTACAGGTGTGACCAAAAAATTATAAAATAATATTTACAGGGTCACTTATAGGCTAAAAAAGAGGCATTAATCCATGTAAAAGCCCTTACATTCACAACTGACTTCTCCTGTTTACATTGAGTATACTAGATCACACCACCATTTGGAACTTTTTCAATTATCTTTTACTTATCAAAAAAAAAAGAAGGGAGTGCTAGGAGAGCTATATCTAAAGTTTTATCTAGCTGGTGTTAAATTAACTGAAAGTGCTTTTATAGCAACAAATGAGAAGGTGCTTTTGTAGCAAGAAAAGAGATATGACCTGATCAGCTCTTTTAGGAAACAAAAATCAGCACAAGTATCTAGGAAACAATGCAAATATCAAAAGGTCTTTTAGGTTTAGTGGAATGCTATAAAAGGTATAACCATACATGAGAAACAGAGGATCGCTTAGGTAAATAACCCATCCTGTCTTCACCAAGCTGTACATAGTATCCATAAGGGCCATTCTTTAAGAAAACCTGTTTGGGGAGGGGGGAGGAGGCAGAATAGATGAAGAAATAATTTGAGTGTCTACTAATAACAAATGGAAACAACAAACGAAAATGAAAATGAGGATCCAAATTCTTGTTAACCAATACAAAGACCAAGATTTAAAGCAAACCTTTTCATTGGACCCTGGATTAAGGCCTAACAATTTCGGCTCCTCAACAGAGTTGCCCTTTTGAGGGCTCTCTTCTTCCTCCTCATCACCATATAATGTCTTAGCAATATACCTATATAAAAATCCAAAAAAATCAACCTAATCATCAAACAGATAAATACAACTGCTAGATTCTTGCCAGGTCTAACGTACAGAATACATACACACACACACACAAGTACATGTATGTATGTATCAAAACCAAGTTAATATCATACTGCTTGACACTTACTTGCACTTTGGATGTTGGTTACACCCTATAAAATAGCCTGCACCGAACCTACTTACTTTGAAAATTAATGTTCCGTCCATGCAACTGAAACAAGGAAGGAAAAGGTTATGGCAAGCTTTATTTGAAGAGTGAAACTGATTAAAATAACATATATATATGAAAGCTAAATATATGGCAACAAATATCTGTGCTTAACTGAATCTCTTATCCTTTTCCTTGCGAAGTTAAAAGTTGTTTCCAAAAAAAATGACATAAAGGTATACTTCCATAGTGTGCAGTGTTTCTCTCATTATCGAAGGAGTTATATTTGTGTGAAAACAAGCAAGATAAAGAAAAGAGAAGGAAAAAGACAAAAACATAATATTCTTCGGGAACTGTTTGTTTTATTGTTGTTTTGAAATGGATTTTTAGCTCCAAATGAATAGAGGTTGGAAAGGCTTTGGTTGGAACCCACAATGAAGCCATTCACATACAGTTAAAACTGAGTTGCTTTTTCCTCCAACACATTTCTTACCCAAATCTTATAATTGTGTTACATCTTTTATAAAGGGCAAACAATATTTGCAATAAAACCTGCTTTTGTCACTACATTTGCATGTGTAGCATGGTAGCCTGACACTAGCAAAGACAAATCAGCAGAGGACAATAAATGTGTCGCAACAAACAACAAATATGATAACAAATGCTGCAACAAATAGCCTATCCTCTCATATCAAGGTTGAGAATAGGCATATATGCTTAACTTGAATACATGGCCATAAACCACCAAACCTAACTGATATGGCATAACACCACTTAACAGCATCTGCCAACAATTTTCTTCCAAGCTCGAAGTTTCACCAAACTCATTGTTGGATATAGGGTTTCCATCATGTTATGCCAGAACTGGATAAACATCAACTTAATTAGAGAGGAGGGGGTTTCCCTACTGCATTTTCTAGCGTTTAAAAGGATGCACATACCTAACCCCTTATTGAGTTATAAAAAGAAATAAAAATCTAAGGATTACATAGTAGCCGCCAAATAATATTGTATTAACTTGCAAGGAAATTGACAAGGGATGTACTAAAATCAAGCTTACAACCTTCAGTGGAGATTTGTGTGTAGGTTCAAAGATGGGATAAAGTGAGCCAAACTTGACGTGTAAATTGTCTTCATGTCATTTTATTCTTTGTTCATGCATACTTTTCTCTTATTTGCATAATACTATTCTCATCCAATCCTTTCTGTCTCCACAGGATTGTGTAATCCTATTCATATACCCAAGTTTCTCTATTCTTCTAGTAAAAGACAAACAGACAAGGAAAAGTATGGTAGAAATCTTTAAACAATCAGACCAATGCACGCCAAACAAGCCCTTATGGATATCTTAAAAGGCTTCAGAGTTCATATTGAACCATAAAAGACTATTTTCACCAAGGAGGTTTGCAAGAAATTTATCTTAACAAATAGTCTTTACTCTTCTTCTTTTCTATTCTTTTATCTTACATTTTTTTTCAAATTCAATAGTTGAAGCACATGGAAGCAACGAGAAGTCAAAAAGCATACCTTGGACACATCCTATTTTTATTAGGGAGAGAAGCAAACAAGAAATCTCCAAATGTCTTTTCCAACATCTTTTCCACCTGCATTATGACTTACTATAACAACTACAATTTTGAAATGGAAATATTGTAAGATCCAAAAATGTGACAAGTAGGTAAGGGATTAAGAAGCCCTAGAATACCTGATGAATATGAACATTCTCAACACGGCTACAATACGAGCTGAAACGTGTCCAGTAGTCCCTGAGTAGGCCTTTCCATTCAGTTAAGCCAGCAGAAACATTGTCAAGCTGAAAGTACAAGCGACATGTGAAAACAAGTAAATAGCAGCATTTTAACAAAGAAATCAAACACATTCCAAAGATTTCCAAATCAAAATGATAATCTACTTATTTAAGTTAAAGAATCAACATTTTAAAACTATAAAACTGAAAAGACTGTATACTACAACCACCAAGCAGTTTGCAACTTGCCTCTGTCTCCATATCAGCAGTAAAACTGTAGTCAGTGACCTCGGAAAAATGGTGTGAGAGAAATGCTGATACCTAGACATGACCCCAAAATATTAGAGAAGACTAGATTTAATAGCACACTTATGAATCACTAATAAGAATTAATTATAAGCCCAAAATGTTTACATAAAGTAATTACTATGTTCCAACAGCAAACTTGAAATTAGTCTAATTCTGTAGGTTCAATAAATGTTCCAAAGCAAATGACCAAATAACATGTGCTTGAAGACTGATTGTGCTTTCTACTACAAAATCAAATTTCACCTTATATTTGCTACAAGGACAACTACTTATCACTGATTGCAGTAAGAACTGTGTATTGTCAGTTTCACCTGAAATATTAATTCCCTACATGTTCCAATCCTGGATTGGAGGTTTTAACAAGCATCAAAGCATCCATTTGAGATGTACTTTTTATGCACATACCAAAATCTACCTAGTACCTACTATTAATATGATAAAAACAAATTTTCTAACCTATTAAGTTATGCAAAAGCACAAGTATAGTAAACCACAAATATAGCAAGAAGGCCACAACATACCATGCGACCCCGAAATTCAGGATATAGTACACGATTTTTCACTGTCACATAGTTTCTATCCTGATTTAACAAAGAATAGGATGTTAGAATATGCCATGTCAATACGAAAGTAGAGGTAAATAAGTCCAAGAAACTGTGAGAGTTGCAGACAAAAGGGCGGGAAAAATTGCACATATCATAAAATCTATGGCATCAAAATACACGAGAAGAACAATCAAACTATAAAATAATTATTACTTCTCTTGTTTTTTACGAATTATTCACAAGCTTGTCTGCCATAAGAAAGAAACAAAGCAGATAAGCTTCTTCTGAGTGACTAAAGACTCCAACACAAGGAATTAAATTCAACTAGGTTTTGACAGAAATTAACAATTCTCAACTGAATTAGGCCGTTCTGACTGCTCAAACATCAAATTGATGTAACATTTTATCTTTGTCCTTGCTATGAGAAAGTGGAGAGGCATAATTCCAGTATGTTCATGATGCCCCTACCAATTCTAAATAGTTAAATTTCACTAAATTTTAAATGCAAAATATTTTGCTCCATTACACTAGTTTAACTGAGTTGCCAACCAAAAACTATTATTTGTGTCTTAATGTGATGATCAAGCTTTAGAAATGTGCATGCATGCACATGAATGCATGTTATTAACCGCTGCCTTCAAACAAGAGCATTCTGTTATTGAGCCGCTTAGATCATTTTCAATAACAAGCACAGATCTGGAATTTGAAATTAAAACCTCGAGCTAACGTCAATTCTAATCAGATATAGGTGAGTTTGAAATTTGATCATTCCACACAATTAGTAACCTGCAAAACTTTCAACGTAGATGCATATGTTGAAGGTCTTCCAATCCCAAGTTCCTCCAGTTTCTTAACCTGTAAAGTGCAGCATTATGGACATAAAAAAGCTCCAGTGAAAAAGATAAAACGCAAGCATAAGCAATTAAGTATCTCCCTTCCTCAGCTCATATTACATGTGCTGAGAAAGAAGTTAAAAGGAAATGTAGTTGGACATTTTAAATCATCCACACCAAAGAAACACATGCAAAAATGTAAAGAAAAGAAACAATCATGATCCCTGCAAAATTGACAAGACGTACCAATGATCCTTCAGAATAGCGTGCTGGAGGCTGAGTATGATGTTGCTTGAGCTCTACTTCACCAAGATACAATTGATCCCCTTTCTAGTAAACAAATTAGTTAATAACAGCACAAAATAAAAAAACAAAAGTAAGAAATTACCAACACTATCAAAATCACCACAACACATTGCTACAGGATCTAATGGCAACAGGGAGCAGCCCACTGCCATATATTATCTCATTACAAACCTCTAAAACAACACTGATACCCTATGAAAAGTAGTTAAAAAGATGACATAAGCAACCAAGCCTAAAGGCAAGCTGAGGAATATAATAGAATGGAAAGTTTAAGATGGATGCATCAAGGTAGTCAAAATATTAAAATTTCAAATAACCAATAGAAAAACTGAAGAATCAGTACCTTCAAGGAACTAAGAATTCCAAAAGCCTCAGCATGCTCATTTGGCTCATTATTTTTAAATTTGGTTGTTTCAGCTTCAACATCCTAAAAAATTAAAATAAAATAAAATAAATAGAAAAAATATCAATATTTTTAGAACACACTAGCAATCATGTTACATGTGTTACAAGTGATTCTTTATGCTGCTAATACATTTCTAATATAGAAAAGTATTCTCAAATCAAATCACTCAATAAATAATCTGAAATCTCAATCAAAATACTCAAATATCAATAATTAAATACACAACTATCTACCATACCAATTTCAATCCAAAACCTCCCAGAAACTAAAATAACATGAGTATTTATAACTAAACCCTAATAAACTGCAAAATTATAACCTACAGCCCTAATACTTGGAAATGGAATAAAATACTAATTAATGTCAAATAACCAGAATAATCTAAAATAGCCTAAATATATGCTAAATTGCAACCAAACCCATAAAATATAAAATAAAGTACTAGTTAATTCAATCTCCCAACTAGCATATTTCCATCCTTGATTAATTTCCTTTTATAATAATTTTAAATTCCTATAATATTGAGATTGTAGCACAAATAAGTAACAATATTTCAGTCTTATTTATAAGAATTTAGTAATATTAAACTTGGGGAATACAAACAAAGCAAAAATAAGAAATCTCACAACACATTGAAATTCAATTTTCATGAGAGTCATGCTTCCTCATTAACTAATTAAAATAATTAACTCAAGTTACGAGTGATTTTATACCATTAGAATTAAGAAACATAAATAGATTATACTTAGGAGACTTTATAACCAACTAAAATATAGTATATACACTAATAAATAAAAATGGAAAACTTAGAAATACAATATAGTTTGATGCCTTCTTATGTCCAAAAAAGAATTTACCAACATCTGTGATTTTATACTATAGACATGGACAAAGTAGACAACCTTGCACATTAAAATTGAAACAAGCAACTGTTAAATTGAACCATTGAAACAACCATGATGCATTCAGATTGTCAAGTTCAACAAGAAGGTGTCCCACATTCATCCACATTACAGGCTGAAAGAAGTGGTCAGAAATAGTACGCAGAATAAAAAAAGCCCACTGGAAATACCATAATTATACCTGATAAGCAGACTGATATCCAAGAAACTCTACTCTTGAGCATGCAGATCGGAAAATGATGGACTCATCACTATTCCCAATTTCAAGTTGTATCTGCTTAGAACAATTAACGGTAGGTGTTATATAGATAATAGTATAATAGTCAACAATTATGCAGATACCAACAAGACCATTGGATACATGTCTACATCTGTAAAGAAGAAAGAGAAAGATAAACCACATGCAAGTAATATAGGATCCAATTTAAAAAGAGAAAAAGAAGATTTCTCCAGAGGAAGAGATCGTTGCAGCCTTTTTCCACCAAAAGATGGTAACTAATCAAGCCAACTTATTCTGATTGAAGTTTTAATTTAAATGAAGCAAAGAATCACCATATAAACATATGATGTAAATTTACATTCCAACCTGCTCTATGGTTGCAGGTTCCATTTGACAAGCCATAGTCCTTGACCAAATAAGAGTGTACAACTTCAATGAATCTTCATCAAGTACTCCAGCAAGCATTGCTGACATTAAGAATATAATATCTGGCAGTGAGATTTTCACAGTATAAAATATAATCTGTGCATTACAGTTCAAACTAGAAAAGAACTTATTTCCATACATGGTAACCTCCGAATATTGGTGGGTCTAATTGCTTCATGAGCCTCTTGAGAATTCTTCACCTTCTTAAAATACTTGCGAGCACTTTCTGGGGTAAAACTCGATCCATGTCTGCAGAAATTAAGTTCTTATTAACAACAAATAAGTTAGAGAAAGAGAAAATTTGTCAAATTAATTACGGAGGAGATTAAACTACAATTAACAGGTGCAAATCAAGGAAAAATGCAATAACATATTTTATTGCACTACGAATTAAAAAAGAAAAAAATTGATAACTGTTTGACCATAACAATAAATTAGAAGACAGAGGTAAAAGTGTAGGATACACAAAAATATATGTCACAGATATTGATAATATATCAATTATTCTCTTTAAACAACCATACAGATGTCAAACAAAAGTTGGCATTAAAAAAATGGTTAAATATATGTGCTTAGCAGCATAGGCACATTGACAGGGATATTAGCATTGTAGGGAAAAGAAGATAAAATTGTTGAGCTAAACGGTTGAGATAAACCTAAGTCACCTTTCCATAACCAAGGAGCGAATGTCCTTAACAGCGTCATCAGAAATCTAACACAACAACCAGAAAGAGAAGTATTAGAAACCCCAAAAGATCCCCAATAAGACATAGAGATTTAAGATAGACACATGAAACAAAGAGAACATGATAAACAACATATTCATACAACCGAAACTATGATGTTAGTCCTTGTTCTACCACAGTAGCATGCTACTGTACCAAAATAATCCTGCAGATGGCAGGCAATACATTAGCTAATTTTCATTTCCACATCAATTGTATGAACACAAAACATGGAGCACTCTAATAAGTAATCAACTGAAAGAGGATATATACAAGATAAGGTATCAGTCTTGCCAAGATAAAAAGATGCATGCCCTCAACAAACAAATGAAATCCAATACAAACACTCACAATGGCAGAAGTCACCTAGAATGTTCTCCACCCTTGCTGACTGATTTTGGACAAGAAATGTCTGACTATTGTCTTCCCATGAGTCCAAAATAAATTTACAACAACAATGTCAACTGTTGCTAACAGGTCTTACATATGATTTTGCATATGCTTTTTCCTTATCTTAGAAAAATTGAAAGATGGTGCATAAAGTAACCAACTAATAGAGAAACAAAAGAGTACCCACATGTAGTCCATCTGTTCTGCTGTATGTTATCAGACCGGCTGCCTTACCATCTGACAATTGAATCCCCTCATAAAGTCTCTGAGCAAGCTGCATTTATAAAGTTTGAAAGCAAAACTAGTAAAAATACTGAAACATCAACCAGATATTCATATGTTAGGGCAAGTGTGATGTCAAAGGAACATTGAAATAGAGAAAAAGAAAAGAAGGTAAGAAACCATACATATAATTTTGGAAATTCTTTTCTTTTTCTTTTTTAAAAAAAAGGAAGAAATAAAATATGTCAACATTTAATAGTTCATCAATCAACTACAGAGAACTAACACCAAACACTGCAGTCAAAACAGAATTAAACACGTCATGGAAGAAATGCCATCACCACCTAAACAAAGTCTTTCACAAAGGAGAAAAAGAAAAGAACAATTGCATAAATGAGTCAAAAGTAAAGGAAAATTAGAAAATTAGAAACTTTCAAAAGGATAAGATTATCAAACCAAAATTAATCACAGAGAGAGTGAGGGTAAAAAAGGAACATTCTAAAATTTCACCGGTTAACAACTTGCAAACCTTCATCGTATATGTTGCAGGAAAATTTAATTTGTTAGCAGCATCCTGCTGAAGTGTTGATGTTATATAGGGGGTGGGAGGGTTTCTTCGCATTGTGTTTCTTTTAGTGCTGATCACTCGAAAGTTTTCCAAATTAATCTTCTGTTCAATATCCTTCGCCCCTGTATCTGAGCTGATTGAGAATTGGCCTAACTTCTTTGAATTATAATGAGTCAAGTGTGCAGGGAAAGAATGATCTTTTACTGGAACATTTGATTCTTCAATTTTCAACAGAACCTCAATAGTCCAATACTCCTGTGGCTTAAACTCATCAATTTCCATTTCTCTGTCACAAATAAGAGACAGGGCAGCTGATTGCACTCGTCCAGCCGACTGGCAACCAGGTAGTTTTCTCCATAATAGTGGTGAAATGTTAAACCCAATCAGATAATCAAGAGCGCGTCTAGCAAGATAAGCATGAACCAAGTTAACATCAATATCTCGTGGTGCTTGCAGAGCACTTTTGATGGATGCCTCAGTTATTTCATTAAAGACAACTCTTGCTACATTAAGTTTTTCACCTAAAGCATCCTGTTGTTGCAACATCTCAAAGATGTGCCAAGAAATAGCCTCTCCTTCACGGTCTGGGTCTGATGCAAGAACAAGATTTTCTGCTCTGAGGAGTAAGGCAAAGAGAATAAGAAATCGAAAAATATATTAACAAAAACAACTGAAAAAATTGATAACCATCACAGATGATAACAATAACATCTATGTCTGTATCACTTAAATTATATTATAAGACTTCTGGTGATAAGACTGATCTGATGAATTTCTTTGTAGGGAATAGAAAGGGACACGAAAAATATACCCAACTAAGCAACCTCATAAATGTGGATAGCTTAAACCAGATCGTAAGACTTCACAGCATAAAATTGATCAACAGGAATTTACTGGAAGTGATAGAAAGGGACATGAAAGGACACCCATTTAGTGCAATGTCACATGTCTGTAAATTAGATCATAAGACCTCTGACCAAAAAATTGATCACAAGAATTTCATTGGCAGTGCTAGGAACGGATGTGAAAACATACCCACTTAGTGCAACCTTAATGCTCTTAAGATGTGTCCATGCAGCACTAGGAACCTCCCATACCATGCTAAAGTCATCATCAGGTCGCACAGATCCTGACCGAGCAGCCAGGTCCCTAACATGACCATAGCTAGGCAAGACTTCAAACGTATCACCAAGGTATCCCTGAATCACCTTTGCCTTTGTGACAGACTCAACCACCATAACAGACTTCCCAGTGGGAGGATATAGCTGCTTTAATGGCCTTTGTCCCTGTGATATATGTTGTGGTGTCTGTTTCTGAGCTGGCTCATTAACTGCTTTCATTGGTTGTCTTTTTCTACTGGAGCTCCTACTTTTCGTTTTGGACTGCAGTTCTGTTGAAGCAGAACCATCATGGGCTTCAGTGCGTAATTTCCCAGTTGAATTTCTCTGGAAAACTGCAGTGTTAGTTAAAATATTACAAAATTTTACACGCACTCACACACACACACAGAGATGTAGATATAGATATACATATGTGTATGTATGCATACACACATATGTACAATATGTACATTAAAAAGCCCCATAAATCCCATTTCTTGATAGCATTTATTAACTGCCAACCTCTGACGCCGGCATGTGACGCTGGCCATTTTTGCTATTATTAGAGGTCCATCCTGGAGAAGCTGTTTTAGAGCCATTCACCACAGGCGCTTCATCTGAAACAACAGTGGTAGAAATCGGTTCCTTGTTTTTCTTGCTTCTTAACTGCTTTTTCTTTTGCAGACTAACTTTAGATTCTGGCTTAACATTGGTAAGCGGTGAAGTTGAAGTAGAGCCCGGATTAGTATTGTTAAGAAGTGAAGTTGAAGTAGGGTCCAGCTTAGCATTGCTAAGCAGTGAAGTTGAAGTAGGTGATCGGAAAGGTGCACCCTTGATCGCATTGAGAGCAGCCACTCCCTTTGGCTTCTTCCAATGCCTATTGAACCCTCTGAAGCCACTACTCCTTCCATCTCTGACACCCATACTATCATTCTTGGTTGGCAATCGAGGGGATTGAGAAAAAAACTTTATGGAAAGAGGCACACATGCTGAGGATGATCTGATACGATTGAAAGAAGCACATGTAGAGATTATATTTCTATTACGAGGTAGTGCATAAGTTAAGTGGTTGGGTAGCAAAGCATATGTAGAGGTACTGTGAAGAGTTGTGAAAAGATTCAAGTGTTGACCAAGTTTTGGGTAGCTAGGCATGAGCCTTGAAGGTGGTCTGAGTTTCCTAAATTTAAGGTGAGATGGTCTTAAAGAAATAATCTCGACTGTCTCCAACTGCAACGAAACACCAATGCCACTATCAGTTTATAAATCAGCAAATCAAATTTATGATGCATTCTTTTAACTACAAGCTCAATTATGAAGGAAAGTAATAAATTTTTCCAAAATGAAATATACATGCATATATGTTGAGTTTGAAAATAAATTAATTCTAGTTTTATCAATGACCAAACAAACTCTATCGCCACAGTCGATAAAAGTGCATAACATAGTAAAAACTAAGATAAAAGAGAATTGTAATAGAAAGTAAAAGACCCAATTTGAAGTAAAGATTCATTATTTTCCAAGTTCCAACGGCAGAGAATGAGTGGAGCAAAAAAAAAATGGAAATTGCTTTTGAGGATAAATGAGAACAAAAAACCTTGGGCATCACTGGGTGAAGACGCAGTGCTGCACAAGAAGTAGTAGAAGAAGACAACAAGCACCTCTGCATTACCCTTTGAATCCTTTGACGCAAATTATATTTGGGGTTTGGAGGAGAAACAAAGAGGAAGGCTTCAGGGTTTAAGGTTGATGAGGCCCAGGGTTTTTCCTTCGGCATAGCATTATTTAATATCATATTTTATTTAAGTGAAAGAGAAATAGATATGGGTCGGGTCAGTAAAATCCGGAACACAAAAGCCCATGGATATGAAGGCCCCCCATTTGCGAAATCTCTCGCCTCCGCATATGGTATAGAATTTTAAAAAGGGATTGGAATTTCTTGTTTGAATCAAAACTCAAGAGCAAATTTAGGTGTCTGCCTCTCTGCTCTCATCCATCATCGACCAGGTAACAACAAAGAAGCCATATTTCTTTCATTGTCATTGAATTATTAGTTTATTCGAGAAACTAGATTGCTTTCTCAGTTTCCGTGTGATTGGATACTACGTACTACTCTGGAAGAAAATTCTCAAGCTAGCTAGAGCACTGTTTAACTAGGGTTTCTACTTTCCACAGCCTTTGTTTCCGATCAGTAGTTGGTAATTGCGAATTGCAATACAATTGACTGCCACTAGTACCACTAGTACATATTTTTCTTTGTTATCACTTTCTTTTCTAGTATTTTATAAGATTCTGCTATAGCTATGTAGTAGAACAGATACTGTATAAATCCTTTGGTTAAACCTTAATAGTGTGAATGGATGCAACTTTATTTTCTAAGCACTTGCCTTTCCCTGCAACTCAAAGCTATACTAATGTGTGCTAATCTTACTGCTGCTTTTATAGTAAAAATGCATATTAAAAGACAACACAAAAAAAATGCTTGTTTTTTGCTCTAATGGTGAATGATTCCCTTTTTCTTGTAGGAGGGCTTCCAAAGCCCAAAAAAAAATTTTTTCCCCGTTTTTGGAGGCCATTTGCATTATCATCCTCCAACACCCTTATGGATCGACCACCTCACAATTATGCAGCTGCTTCTGCCATGGCCTATGCCCAACAGCAGCGACAAGCACCCAATATTCAACAGCAACAGCAGTTTGGATTTCATCCCCAACATCAACAGTTCCCTGCAGCAGTGCATGGTCCTCCTTTCCTACCCCCACATCCTTCTCAATTCCCTTACCATCCCCACATGCAGCAGCAACCACAACTCCACCCTCATCCCCCTCCCCACCCTCAACTTCTTCATCTTCAGCAGCAACAGCAACCGCCACCTGCTTTCCCTTCACATTTGCCTCCTCATCTTGTGTCCTCGCCTTTCCATGGCCTCTATGATTGTCCTCCACCCCATGCTGCTCCCCCATCGGACCCTGAGCTCCAGAAGCGTATTGACAAGCTTGTTGAGTATGCAACCAAGAATGGCCCCGAATTTGAAGCCATGATCTGTGAAAGGCAGCAAGATAATCCTGATTACAGTTTCCTCTTTGGTGGAGAGGGAAATGGTTACTACAGGTACAAACTTTGGTTATCTACCCGTCCTCCAGGTGGCCCGTATCCTTCCTTTCCACCCTCTTCTATTCCTATGATGCATCCTCCCCCAAATCCCGTCATGCACCCTTCTTCTCTGAGTGCACCTCCAATGAGTGTCGTTGCTGCTGCTGCTGTTGGGGCTATGGGCACTCCACAACTGCACCAACCTACATTTCCATCATTTTTTGATCAGCAGCACCACCATCAGCATCCTCAGCCTTTTGCTGCTCATGGCCAAGCAGAGTATGATCAGTCCTTCAAAGGCCTGTCTGGTCCACTTCCCTCTGACGTTGCAATGGAGCTTACTAACATGCTTAACAATCTAAATGGTACCAAAGAGTCAATCAAAAGTGCCAAGATATGGTTCATGCAGAGGTCTCCATTTGCTCCAGCTCTGGCTGAGGCACTTAGAGATAGGGTATTTGCTTTGGATGAATCGGAGAGGCAATTGCACGTGATTTATCTTGCCAATGACATTCTTTTCGACAGGTACTTTTCTATTGGTGCATGGTTTCTGATGTTTAGTTTGTAGATGGCTCTTTAGGCTTATTCTTTAATGGCTTCTTGTTTAGTTGTTGGCAAATTATCTATGCATCATGAAACATTTCTTTTCTTTCTCTTTGTACATGATCCCTTGATACCATATTTCTCTTTCTTCTTCCTCTTGTTGTGATTGCCTTAAAAGCTGTTTGTTCTTTTTTCTATACCTTTCTAATATGACCCATATTTGTGTGATGTAATTAATTCAGAAATTATAATTGAACGGTGATATTCTAGAATTAAGGCTTTAGGTCTAGATCCCTTCTCTATATGCTAAAACTTTATTATCTGCTGTCATGGTTTGACCTCTCAGACATGGGGCTCACATCTTCCCATCTTGATTAGCAATTAGCCTTTTCAGTGATTTGCATACATGGGATTGTTAGCTTAGATCAGATGCTGGTGAGCCTGTGAATGATTCGAATTGGATTAATTCGTTGTTCAAGAGTCGATGTTAAATTACTGTAATTAATATTCATGTGATGTAATTAATTCAGAAATTATAGTTGAACTGTTATATTCTAGAATTAAGGCTCTAGGTTCCTTCTCTGTATGCTAAAACTTGATTATCTGATATCGCAGTTCCACCTCTCAGACATAGGGCACATGTCTTCCTATCTTGATTACGAGTTAGTCTTACTGGTTATTTACGTGCATGGGATTGTTATCTCATATCAGATGCTGGTGAACCTGTGAATGATTCAAATCGTATTAATTCAATTTTTCCAGAGTCAATGTTAAGTTATTGTATCACTGATGCACAAGAATAACTTAAAACCAAGTAATTTTCATTCGCCAGTCCCTGGAAACAATCTTAAGTATTGGCTTTTTTTTCTGGTTTGTGCAAGTTATCAATTGTTTTCAGACATTATTAATCATCCATCATTTTAATTTTTAATTTCTTGTAATTTTAATTATCCAGTTATGTTTATTGATTTAGTGAATAGGTTTTGAATCATGCATAATCCTCTATCAATTATGTAACTAATGAGTAAAGATACATAACCTTAAACCTATGTGATATCTGAAACATGCATCTAATACTGTCTGGTAAATTTGTTGGCTTACATGATATTCTAGGTTCACATACTAATACAACTTATCATAAGAAATCAACTTACATCAGCCTCCTTCTTTATAAAATAGGCTTACCTTACTTCTTCTATTTATATCTGTCAATCACTTTGGGACCCAGATTTCTTTCCAAAAGCCTTATGTTCTTCCTAGTGTGATTGCGCTTCTTCTTGTTTGTCTGGATGCTGAGGCTGTGTTGTTGCTTCAGATCCTTCTTGACATTTCTTTTCGATATTTGCAGTTTGCAGAGAAGGGTTGACCCTCATGACCTCGATAATGAAGCCCTTGCATTTAAACCTGTAATAGGTTCCATGCTTGCAAGAATCTACCACTATCCTCAAAACAAGGAGGAAAACCAGTCACGGTTACAAAAAATTTTGCAGTTTTGGGCATCCAAGGAAGTTTATGATCAAGATGCTATATATGCACTTGAGAGTGAGATGATGAGTGGACCACCAACTATTTCTTTTCCTGGGCCTCCAAAAGAATTATCTGCTGCTTCAGTGGAGCCCTCAACACCTGCAGGTAGCTTCTTCTCCCCCTTTCTATTATTTAAATAAAGGACCTGGGCTTTTCATAAAATGTGTCATTTCGTGTATTTCTAATTTCCCTTTCTCTTTGTTCTTTCATATAATTTTACCATGTAGGAATATTACAGCAGACAGCAAACAATAATGTCTCCCTATGGCAGCCTGACAAACAAAGTTCTATTCCAAGTGTACTGGACCAAGAGTTTCCTGATAAACAAGGGACCCCTGCCTTGCTACCATCTCTGGCAAACAAGCAATTTGTTCCAAATTCAGGCCCTACTGGGGCTTGTCCAGGGTCTATGCCCTTAAATTCTAATCTTCAGCCACCAAGCCAACAACAAGCAAATATTGGTGAAAAGTTGCCCCCATATCCACTTTTCCCACCTGGTCTTATTCCTGGAATGGTTAGAAAAATGCAAATTGGTAGTGGGGTGCCTTATTCTCCCCTGAGTCCTTTGGATATCCCAACTGTTATACCTCCATCCAATGTATCACCATCAGAAATTCTTGAGAGAGTATCAAAGTTTTTTAAAGAAATTGGGGAGGTCAACCCTTCTGAAGGATCCTTGAAATCCGATTCAAGAGATGAAGACAATGAATATGGTATTGAAGCTCCTATTCGTAAGGGTGGAGCTTGCATCCCTCCACCCCCTAATCTGCAGGTAGACCCAGATACAGGAACTTATGCTGATGGAAGTGCAGAACGCAAACCAGGATCCAGTGGCGCAGGAAGATTAGGACTTGGAGCAACAGCTAATACCAATGAAGCAAGTCAATATGATGATGTTTATACATCTTACAGAAAACAGAGAAGCACCTCGTACCATTCATCCATGAGTGCACGAGCTGCTACAAGGTAAAGCCTGTCAAATATGTCTAGATATCTTTCAGGGTGGAAAACAAGGAGTACCTTCGGTAGCTCGTTTTTTCTGCTATTATTTATTAAAATTATCATTCCTTTCTGCAGCTAAGCATGTAGAAACATACAAGTTGACTAGTTATGCTAGATAAAAAGACCATGCGGGGGGGTTTAATTAATTTTCACGCTGACATATAAGTAGGAATTTTGGGCTTGAAAGACAGGAGCTTTCTTCTGCATATGCTGAACATTTTGTAGAAACAGGAACAAAGTAGTTATATGCTTCAGCAATTGAATAAGGTTGGATCAGCTGGAAAGGGATCAAGCAGTACTGCCACGAGCAGCAAAGGCTATAATCAATTATCCTCTTGGGCCAATACTAGAGTTACAGTTACACCTTTGAGTGTTGAAACTTGAAAATGCTATGCCCATGGAAGGCACAAGCAATGGTGTTGTTATAGAGCAGGTTATGGATGGTATCAGAATAACAATAAGGTTGTCGTTGTAGAGACCACTGAAGTAAATTTCCCTTGGTCGAAACAGGCCCATTAGATGACGGAATTGATCCAGTTTGCGTGGTTTTCTTGTACTTCATTGACGAATCTCTTCTGGGGACTGAATCAGGCTAACTAGGCATTCGGCCCTGCTTACTCTAAATATGTAGCCCAACATGCGATAATTTCCAGCAGCACAGGCAGTCTGGCACTCTAGCACTAGCAATGGTACTTATTTCGTCTATCGGAGGTCTCAAAGCCCATCTCATACGCGGGGAGAATGATGTGAACATATATTCGAGTTATAGGGAAACAGAGTCAAAAACTAAGAACAGGAAACAGCAGCACCAACAGAATCAAGCACACTAGTTTCACCCTCCAAATATCAAAATGCTTTGAACATAATAATTTTTCTCTCTTTAAGTCTCGGTTAATTTTCAACATTGGCTACCCCTATTAATTTTAGTTTGTGTGCTTGTTTTCAAAGTCTTTGACTTTTGAAGTTTTAGATGGCCCAAGTCCCCATAAAAACCCATGCATGCAAATCCACTTTCGCTCGCCATTCGCCGAGCACTTCTTCCCTTCTTGTTTAACTAGGTCAGTAGCAAAGCCAAGGCTGCAGCACGGTGTAACATATATATATATATATAGTATAACTCATGGTGATGGACGCCTCTTTCCTCTCCCTCCTTATGCAATCCTCTTCATTGCTGGTCTTTCATTTGTGTACCTCATTCATAGACGCATAACCCCTGTGGCCTCTAAAAACCTGCCACCAGGCACCACCGGTTTGCCTTTCCTTGGCGAAAGCATCCAGTTTCTTAGAGCTGGCCAAAAGGGTCACCCTGAAAAGTTCGTACACAATAGAATGGCCAAATTCTCATCCAAAGTTTTCAAAACTTCATTGCTTGGAGAAACAGCGGCCGTCTTTTGCGGTTCAACAGGAAACAAGTTTCTGTTCTCCAACGAGAACAAGCTTGTTACCGCACGGTGGCCTAACTCCGTTAACAAAATTTTCCCTTCCTCTCTTCAAACTTCTTCAAAACAAGAATCAATAAAAATGCGAAAGCTCCTCCCCAATTTTCTCAAACCAGAAGCACTTCAAAGATATGTAAGTGTCATGGATATGATTGCACAAAGGCACTTGGCATCCAGTTGGGATAACGAGCAAGAGGTGACAGAGTTCCCTCTGGCTAAAAGGTTTACATTCTGGTTGGCATGTCGACTTTTTTTGAGCACTGAAGACCCTCAACACGTTGCAAAATTTTCTGAACCTTTCAATGCTTTGGCTTCTGGAATAATATCTATTCCAATTGATTTCCCAGGGACACCCTTTAACCGTGCTATCAAAGCATCCAATTTGATTCGAAAGGAGTTGAGAGAAATTATCAGGCGAAGAAAGGTGGACCTAGCAGAGAATAAGGCCTCACCAACACAAGATATACTGTCCCACATGCTCTTGACAACAGATGAGAATGGACAATACATGAATGAGATGGAGATAGCCGATAAAATTCTGGGTTTGCTTATTGGGGGCATGACACGGCTAGTACCGCCATAACTTTTGTTGTCAAGTACCTTGCGGAGCTGCCACAAGTTTATAGTGAGGTTTTGAAAGGTAAATTTCCAATAAAAACCACCTCTTGCTTTCTAGTTTCTATGCCAAAATATTCACTTAAAAGAATGTTAGATGTTAAAGTATAGATATCAATTCAGTCGGAGAATGAAATACTTAATTCACCTTCACAGAGCAAATGGAGATAGCAAAATCCAAGGAACCAGGTGAGCTGTTGAACTGGGATGACATACAAAAGATGAGATACTCGTGGAACGTAGCATGTGAAGTGATGAGGCTGGCACCACCCCTGCAAGGGGCCTTTCGAGAGGCCATGACTGACTTCAACTATGCTGGATTCTCTATTCCAAAAGGGTGGAAGGTAACAAACAAATTTACCTGATTTAAACACAACTCCTATATAGCGATGACTTCTGTTGTAATTATTCTAAGCTAAGCACCTTTTGCAGCTATATTGGAGTGTGAACTCGACCCACAGGAATCCTGAATGCTTCCCCAGCCAGAAAAATTTGATCCAGGGAGATTTGAAGGGAGCGGACCAGCCCCTTACACATTTGTACCATTTGGAGGAGGACCAAGGATGTGTCCGGAGAAAGAACATGCGCGATTGGAAATACTCGTTTTCATGCACAATCTGGTAAGAAGATTCAAATGGGGGAAGCTAGTTCCTAAGGAGAAGATCATAGTAGACCCAATGCCCATGCCTGAAAAGGGCCTTCCTGTTCGTCTCCTTCCGCACAAGGTTTTTAATTAAGCAAGAATATTGACAACACAAGTAATTATACCTTCCAACAAACTCAGATCCTAAAGTTATCCCACTATTTCTGCAGCCTCGTATGTTTGTCGAATAAGGTCTTCATTACATGAGAAAGGATCCCATTTACCCCTCCCAACTTCAAAGGCATTCTTGCTCCGGTAGAATTTCCACATGCATTACAACTCGTTTCAAGCAATAATAAATTTGGGCAAGGAGTGACTATCGTGGCCCACTGATATGAGCCCAGGTTTCTCAATTAGGAGTTTGGCGATGAATGATTTTCTAAATCCATAGCGGAAACAAGCATTTATGGTGAATTAATGAATCCATGTGATTGACTAAAAGCAAAGTGGGAGGGGAAAACTACTGTAGCCATCGCCTCTAAAAGCTTTAGTGTCTTAACATTTTTCAAAGATAAAAGCATTAAAGAAGAATCCCTTGCGTCTCTATCCAAAATAACACTTACAAGCATCAAACTAGAAGAAAATCTTTATGGAACATAAGCTGCAGCACTGCTCTAGAACATCATCACGAAGTTGTACGAATGTTATCCAGACCGGACCAGACCACAGAAGAGCATCACAACACGCTCTCCAAAACCACCCGGTGGAGGCGCACCACATCCGTACAAGAGTAAAAAAAATATTAAGTGCATTAACAAATCTAAGCATAAACAAAATTCACTCTTGTAAACACCAAGAAAAGCTTCAGCAAAACAGTAGATGCCATTTGCAAAAACGTTGATAAACAAATATTGCGAGCAGCACTCCATTCTTCTCTACACCATCTTATCTGCATCCCAAACTTTAAGTTAAGGCCTAAAAGGAAGAATTGGTCGATATTCACAATTGAAATTTACTCAGGTGACAATTCCAAAAGATACTAGAAGGAAAGCAAGGTATTAGATACTGGTGCTTATAAACTGCCCGAAAGAAGCAAGTCAATATAGTATTGACATCAATTCCACATGCCCGTTAACGTTCTGCCAAGAACTCTGCTTTACGGATACGCTGGCCTCCTGAAATTATCTCCTCGCCTAAAGGATAAGGAACGTTTCCACAAGTTTCAATCAATTGAATCACACAAATGCTAAAAGGCCCAAGTAAAAGAAATTTTGCTTTCATTAAGAAAATTATTATAATTAAACATTACTATAAGCATCAATGGGAAGAATAGTAAGCTTAAAATCACACCAGCAGTGCAAACACAAAGATAGCAACAAATGTAAGCCCAGAAAGCAAAGAAAAGAACATGAATGCCATTATGTGATTTCAGGGGATAAAAATGACGAAGAAGAAAGCAAACAGTAGATCCGTATTCAACATGAGCATGATAATTCTTTTTAAAGCTATTTATAAAGTGATTATTTCAATCCACTGAACCTCTTGTTTTTCATTCGTAAATTTACATCTCAATCTTTTAATATTACATATTAGTTGAAATAACTATTAAACGGCCTATTTCTTATGTTTATACTCAAAATAATCTAACAGAATTATTTATTAAACACTTCTAATTAATTGCAAGGCCATCACTTATGAAATTCAAACTCTCAATTTTTACTTGAAAGTATGTCATTTTGAATGCAGCAACATTTGTATGCATCAAGCCAAACGAGTTATTATAAATTCTCCTTATACAATTGATTTATAGTAAAGAACCAAATATATCTCATCTAAGAATTTTTAGATGTGTAGTATATGTTCCAATTATTTCACCACAATACACAAAGATGTATCCTCAAAGGAAGTTAAGAATATATGTTGGATACGAACTTTCATTTGTAATTAAATATTTAAGATTATTAATAGAAAATTTATTCATGGCAAAGTTTATCGATTGCCATTTTGATGAAATAGTTATTCCAACATTATGGGGAGAAAATAAACAGCTGAAAAAAGATATCTCTTATAATAAATTATCACTATCTAGTTTTAATCCTCGTACAAATCAATATAAAGTTAAAGTTCAAAAGATAATTTTTTTACAAAATATAGTAAAATAGTTGCCAGACGTATTTAATGACTTAAAGAGAATAATTAAATCTTATATACTAACTTCAAATGCTCTTATTAACATTGATATTCCTATAGGACAAGGAACACTAGAAGCGTGGAAACCAAACAGTTGTAGAGATAAAATCCTTTAAAAATAAAAAAAGTAAATATTCAAGATGGTTAAAAAATGAAAGTAGAAACTCTAGAAGAAACCTCTAGCATAATTGATAAACATTCCAGAAAAAATTTAAGTACTTGAAATTAGTGAAAATAAAAAGATCTCAACAAATTATATCATACTGGGAAAAGATGGAATTGGTAAATAAACGTCGATGATATTTTGTATATAATATAAAGTTCAATATTATGAAAGAAAAGGAGAATCTTAACCTTACATTTATTGAAGAATGTAAACATAAAAGTAATTGGCCAATGTGGAAAGACGCAATTAAGAAAGAATTGAATTTATTTGCAAAACATAAAATTCTTGGACCTGTAGTCGTACATCAAATAGTGTTAAGCCAATGAAATATAAATGGGTATTTGTGTAAATATGAAATAAGAAAATGGAGATTATGAAATATAAAGCACAACTTGTCGCACAAGATTTTATCTAAAGATATAGTATTAAATATGCAGTGATATATTCTTTATGGTAAATGTAATTTGACAATATATGAAAAGATTGAAATGCGTCTAATGAATGTAACTACAACCTATTTATATGTCTTACTTAATAACATATCTTTATAATCTCTGAAAGATTTAAATTACCTAAAGTATATAATTTAAATTCTTGATAAATTTATTCGATCAAATTAAATAAATCTTTATATAAATTAAAACAATCTAAGCACATATGGTATAATCGCTTTAGTGAATATTTGTTGAAAAAAACTTATAGAAATAATTTTATATGCCTATTTATTTTATAAGATGTAGATATGAATTAAATATAATTGCTATTTATGTTGATGGCTTAAATATTATTAAAGTTCTTAAAGAATTATCAAAAACCGTGAATTACTCAAAGAGAGAATTTAAGATAAAAGACCTTGAAAAAGATAAAATCTAGTTAGGATTTTCAAGTTGAACTCTTAACAAATGAAATTTTTATCCATCAATCAAATTATATCGCAAAATGTTATAACAATTTGATATGGCAAAAGCATATTTATTGAGTTTACCAATGGTTATACGGTCTTGAAATGTGAAAAAAGAGCATTTCTGACCTCATGAGGATAATAAAAAACTTTTTAGCTTTTTAGTCCTGAAATATCGTATCTTAAAGTATTAATGTATCTTGCTAACAATATATGAGTTAATATATCAATTGTTGTGAATTTATCAATAAGATAGTTCTTATCCAACTCAAAGATATTTAAATGAAATTAAATATATATTTCAATATCTACGAGAAACAATAGATATAAACTTATATTATTCAAATGTATCAAAATAAAATTTAATTAGTTATGTAAATACAAGATATCTATTTGATCCATACAAAACTTAATCCTAAACAAATTTCTTATTCATAAGTGGAAGTATGACTATTTCATAGTTTTTTGTAAAACAAACTACGGTTGTTACTTTTTCTAACCATGTAAAAATTTTAACAACTCATGAGATAAGTCATGAATGTGGTTGATTAAGAACTACAACTTAACATATTCAAAAAACATGTGACTTGTCAACCAAGAAAAAAATTCCAACAACGTTATATAAGAATAATACCGCTTGCATAACATAGTTAAAGGAAAAATAGATAAGACAACACATAGTTCACCAAAATTCTTCTTCACTAGTGATCTCTAAGAAAATAATGAAATTAGTATTCAACAAATTTAATCAAATGACAATCTAATAAATTTATTCACTAAAACCCTTTTTACTGCAACATTTGAAAAACTGATAAAAAAGATTAAAATGCAACATTTTACATATATCTACAATACAGTCACCAAAAAAAGTAAAATACTCACTACTCTTTTCCTTCATCAAGGCTTTTCTCATTGAGTTTTTCTTGATAATGTTTTTTATAAGACAGTATTTTCAAAATATATTCTTGAAAAAATTATATACTCTTTTTCTTTCACTCAATTTTTTTTCCATAAGATTTTTTTCCTTTTAATGTTTTAAGAAGCATATTTTTAATACAATGAACATTCAAGGAAGCATGTTATGAACAAATATGTTAATATCTATTATTTTATGACCTAAAAAATACAAACCATGTCAAACAATCCAATAAGCAAGATACAAAAAATATAATATGATTTAAACTCTTGAATAAAATTAAATTAAGATTATGATTCAAAAAATTATTAACCTATAAATAAGTCTCTCATTTTATTTGTAAATACATATTTAAATAAAATTTTCTTACTTCAAATATTTTTATTTATATTTTTCTTATAATTGTTCTTTTAAGATTTATTTCATAACAAATTTAAGTTTGTGACAAACTTCTGTCGAGCAATTCAAAAGTAAACCATACGACAAACACATGCATCATTTCATGAATGAGCATATTAACTCATCAAACACTATATACGTACACTATGCTCAAAGAGACTCAATCACATAACAAGGTTATGAATAAAGCAAGCAAGGACTAGCCCTGTTACAAACCTGGCCCCCTCTGATATGTACTCAACAACAAAACAAGGGTGAATTAATCAATCCATGTGTTACCCAGCACGACTAAAATATAATTATGTGAACATGGTCAAAAGTAAAGTGGGAGGGAAAAACTACTGTTTTACCATGTCATATATTTTTCAAAGATAAAAGCATAATAAGAACCCTCTGTTTCTCTATCCAAAATAACACTTATAAGCACCAAACTTCAAGAAAATCTTTCTGGAGGATGGGCTGAAGCACTACTCTAGAATGTCATCAGGGGGCGATTCTTTGAGGGTCACGAGGGAAAAGCGAAGTTTTGCGAATGTTACCCAGACCACAAAAAAGCATCACAACGCGCTCCAGTCCAACTCC